CAATGGAAGATCCCTCGATTATCTTGTCCTGTTGTGTTCATGACGTGACTAAAGAAGATTCACATCATGGTGCTTGCTGAGTGAGTTATTTGTAACCATGTTAGCTGAGTTGGTGGGAGATCGATCTGGAATGGGGTTGAGCGCATTCTAATAATGTGACCATGGGTTGGTCACAACGTGAGAACCAGTTTTTGGTATTGTTAGCTGTTAACTTTGACTTTCGGCAAGGGTTGACTTTTGGTCAAACTAAGGGTTTTGGAGTGTAGATTGAGAGGGTACTCTTTATTTCTGTTAGGTGTCTTGTAGGATCAATCTTTGATGGGTGAGAAATGTGATGTTTGGTTGCTACTTGTGAGGTGAGTCTTTTCACTATACATGTATGTGTGGTAGTATATGCATGTTGACTAGATGGTTCTTATTTGTTGATTTATGTTATATTATGAACTTTGCTGATAACTTTTGGATTGTTGTGAGTCAATGGGATTGCTGATAGTCCCCAGGGTTACTGATAACCCGTGAGGTGTGCTGTTAATCCTCAGGGCATGTTGTTAGCCCCTCGGGACCGCTGATTTCCCCACGGTTACTGATAACCCATAGTTGATTATCATGTTGTGTTGTATGTGATATTTTGGAGAACTCTCTAAACTTTGTGATTACGATTGTGAATTAAATATTTTTTAGGTACTTATCGGATTGAGAAAGTGAGACTGTACACTCACATCAATAGTTTTGTTATATGGGATTTCGCATTGTCGTCATTTTAACTTGGATTCGTGAATAATGGTTTATGATCAAATGGTTGAGGTGAATGTATATTTGTAAAAATTGGATGTTTTATTATTTTCAAAGTGAAAAATTTATCCTGAGAAATTAGGATGTTGCGTTTAATATATGTTTTACTATAGCGATTTAATGTATATTTTACCAAAAGCTACTAATATAACAAAATTTGTGAAAATTGGCAAGTAAAAGGTGTTATCAATTAAGTAACATGAGCCCATGTAATAGCACTGCCAACGTTTAACTATAAGTTTTTAGAGGTAGACTAAAACTGGAAAAATTGGGAATAAAAATAGCGTAGATCGAGAATCGATCTCGCCACAATTATCTAATCCTCCACGAAAAGTAAGAAAGTCCGCATATTTTGACCAATTCAAGGTGAAAATGGGGTTGTTCCCTCAGTTTAAGCATGAGCGCTTTCCCAAATGATCTACAAAGCCATTGGAGATGGATTTTAAAAATACAATTATATTTATACATAATATATAACATAAATAAAATCGGTGCCCTACTTTTTACGAGGCCCGAGGAGATCGCCAAACTTTCCCTACCCATTGGGTTGAGTGGGTCGAGTATGTACCTGACCTACCTAATACCTATCTATCCTACCCTCCCTACTTACCTTACCCACCCCACTTACCCTCATACCCACCACCACCTAAATCACCCTACATACTCTACACCACCCACCTAACCATACTCCATGCACTACTTACCCCCACCCACCCATCGCTAATCTACCTAGGCCCACCCCACCTACATATCCAACTCTTATCCTAATTTAAAATAACAAAAAACAAGAAAATGAAAATCGATAGACAATAGTGTGTTTGGTTGCAGAAAAATTTCTAGTTTACCATGAAAATTTACAAATGAATTAGAAAATATTGAAAATGCATTTTGCTTATTTGGTTTTCAAAATTTTTCCAAGAAAATAAATTTTTTTTGTTTTCCAAATTGTATGTAAAATTTTCTACTCTATTTTCTAAAAACATTATTCTTGGAAAATGAAAGTAGTTTTCCACAACCAAACGTACCAACAGCCAACATATTTTCTAATTTTCTAAAACCGAAAATGAAAAGTGAAAAGTTTTAACCAAACATGTTTTCTAAAATTTTCTATGATAAATGAAAATGAAAACTCATCTCATTTTTGGAAATTATTTCCAAGAAAAGTGAAAACTATTTCCCACAATCAAAGGCAACCCTAAGGGTGCGTTTGGTTGTGGAAAATTTTCTCGTTTACTATGAAAGTTTTAAAATAAAAATGGAAATTTGAAAATGTGTTTGATTGATTCAGTTTTCAAAAGTATTTCAAGAAAATGAAAATTATTCTATTTTCCAAATTGTATGTAAATTAGAAAAGTGATTTTTACATTTTCCTAAATTTTCAAAATTTTAAAATGGAAAATGAAACCTCCATCCGTTTCAATCAAACACATTTTCTAAAATATTCATTTAAATCTAAAAATAAAAACTTAACTCTATTTTCTGAAAATGTTTTCTAGAAAAATAAAAACAATATCCCACAACCAAACACATCCTAAAGTTTTCATAGTTTCTATTGCTTTATCCTAAATATATTTTTTCCCTTTGGTTTACCTTATAGTTTTCATTCAACTTATTAATTTTACTCGTTTACCATGAGTAATATTTCATAATTTTAGGCACTTTGATTTTAAAGCTAAATAAAATATAGAGTAAATTACACTTTTGGTCGTTACGGTTCTCACACACAACTTAGTCAAGTGGAACAACTCTTCTTTTATAACGGACCATAACCTTCTCAATATCTGAGAATGGAGACACCAATTCTAAGTCAAAGTTTCTCAAAAAATGGCTTCACAAGGAGTTGTTGTAGTGCAAAAGTTTTTTATTAAGTTATCTTATGTAATTAAGTGTTGGAACCGGAGTTGTATCGAGTGAGTTAGGGTCTTCGGAGGAATTAGGGTTTTGGGAAAAGCCCTAGTACGCAGGGCGTACCAAGGTGGTATGCAGGGAGTACCGAGGAGAAGTGACTACGCGAGGCGTAGCTGGGAGGAACACTCAGTGTAGGTGCGAAGTCTGGATTGGGATGCGCAGGCTCGTAAGCGGGGCGTACCAAAAGGAAGGCGGGGCATTAAAGAAGGCCCCACCCTCTAAAACCCTAAAAATCGTCATTAGTCATTCATGGTGGCATTTTGAGCTTATGGAGTCCATTTTGGAGTGTTTGGTCCATTTGAAGAAGATGAAGCTTGATGAACAGATGGGGATCAAGGAGAAGCTTATGGATCTAGCCTTTGAGACTCATTCTCATCTTGATGAATGTATAAACCTTTGAACTTGATCATCTATCTCTTAGATCTCCCATTTTATGAGTTTTTGGATCATTTTGGTCCCAAGTATGAGATCTAGTGGTCTTGATTTCATTCCAAAAGATTTGAGTTGCCACTCTTAGTGTTTCTGATGTTCAAGGTCCATAAACTTGGTACCTTAAGAGTCTGAGACCATCTATGGTGGAGTTTGAGTTATTTACATGAAAGTAGAATGCTATTTAGTCTTTTCGGGGAATGTTAAGTCACCAAGTTAGTGACTTTATGGGTTTAGACGTTATTTGGGACTTAGATTTGTGGTTTGGACTTATGGCTTAAAGCATTAAGTGCTTAATGGCAAAAGTGGGATTAAGAGGGAAGTACGATGGGCCTACAAGCCAGTACGCGCAGCATATAAGCTATTAAGCGAGTACGCGCATCGTACTATTGAGTGCGCCCTGTGTACTCATTCAGATTGGACTTCACATATGTGGGCCTCGGGTTGGGCCATTTCTTGGACTAGGTTGCTATGGGCCTACATGGGCTAATTGGAATCAAGGTTATGGACTAAGGAAAATATTGGGCTTTAGGATAACGCTAATTGGAAAGGTCTGGGCCCAATTTGGAAAATTAGGTCATAAGTGGGCCATAATTGGACTTGGATGATTATGGGTTGTTGGACCATCGGATTGCTAAGTGTGTTGGACTAAAAAGAATGATTGGGCCTCATGGCAAGACCCATATAGAGGTTTGGGCCCAATTTGGAAAATTGGGTCATTGATGGATTTATGGACATAATGGTGTTGGGCTTTTGTTTGGGTTTAGGCCTTAGTTTTAGATCATATTGGGCAAGGGGTAGAATGCTCATTTTACCCCATGTATGGATTAAGGATTATAGTATGGGACCCAATTGCTAATTGGGTATATTGATTGGTGTTGGTAGTTCAGGATACCGGCAGGGCAACAACTATGGATTTTATTCGGGGAACTTCAGCATTCGAGGTGAGTTACCTTCCTGTATGAGTGGGTCGAAGGCACCAATGTCGACCTACTAGTAGTTGTTGTAGCAAGAGATGATTGTCTTTGTGATAATTTTCTAGTCTGCCACTATCTGCTATTTTTTATGTGTTTATTTGTTACAATATTATGTGGTAGTAGTAGGGGATTACATAGACCCAGTATCCGGTTGAAATAGATCGAAGGGGAGGCCATCACCCAGATATGTTCGGCAGTATCTGGTTGAAATAGTCCGAAGGGGAGGCGAACACCCAGATATGCTCGACAATATTCAGTTGAAAGAGACTGAAGGGGTAGGCCAACACCCAGATATGCTAGGCAGTATGTGTATTGTTTGGTATGTGGTATGATGGGGGAACTCACTAAGATTCGTTCTTACGATTTACAAGTTTGGTTTTAGGTACTTTTTTTCAGAAGGAAAGAAGCCAACACGATCGCAGCGCCTCACACTATGATTTCCGCATTACGAGATCTTTGGGTGTTGTACTATGATATTATTTTTCTTTGACATGTTTGTGTTATTTGAAATAATGTTTTTTGTTTATGAAATGAGTTGATACTAATGATGTTTTAGACTACTGTTTTTATAATTATTTATTTAAAAGTGAAATTTCTGGTCTTCAATTTTGGGATGTTACAGCAAATGTAAGGTTTTCTAGTGACCAAGCATCTAATTATGTGTATTAAAACTTCAAATAGTAAAAACATATGAAAACACGATAGTTCCCTAGTGTTTAATTTATTAGAGTTGATTACTTTTTTTATTATATATCGAAAGCCGATAGAACCATATATTACGAACAACAAACAATTACAACCTTATATGAGTAGTAATTAGTCAACATGGTACTAAAAAGCTTTATTTTATTATATCATATATTTCAAGAACAAGCAACATCCATCATACGATGCTCAAACACAAGTCAATGTGAAGAGTTTGTCGAATGCAATAACCACAGCTTCACGATACGATGCTTCGTATGGGGGTTGTACCCGAACAACAAGACATTCAACCGAACTGAATGTCTCATGGATCCCAATATTACATAACACAAGCCTCCTTGTCTCAAAAGAACACATATTAAAGATGGCGGAAACAAGTCCATTTTCACGTGCCACATTGTATCCAACATGCGACACCACATAGTTGAGTAACTGGTGACATATTGTAGCAATGTCTTTTGATGTGGCATGGAGAATAAATGTTCTCACAAGGCTTTGATGATGTAGTGCTTCAAATGGTTTGATGCACCCGCAACATGCACGTTGATAGTCCAATAAAATCATGCTCCAAAACCACGCATCGTTAACTAGGAGAGCCTGCCACACACACACACCAACTATGTGTTATATTAGTTTTTGTAAGGGTTAAAATTTAAAATTACAATGCCTTAACGATAATAAAAAATGCAATTTTTTGTCTCCAAGTACAAATGATTTTTGCAAATTTGGTCCTAAGTTATCTTGCAACTTTGGTCCTTATTTGAGATTCTGTTAGCTTTTCGGAACCAATATTGAAAGATAGCTTATTGGGACCAAAACTGAAAGAGAACTTTTGGGGACTATAATTGCAAGAAATAAGCTATACTTAGGGACTAAAATGTAGTTTACTCTAAAAAATTGGAAGTAAATTTGTGTAACAACTAGCAATGAAAATACAACGCTATAATACACAAATAAATTTATGATGCATTGTTATTTCTAGCATTTAACCTTTTTGGTAATCATATCAATTAGAGTTGTTACTTAGCTATGAAGTTCTAAAAATAAAATTAAAAAGATAGTTTTGTGGCCCCTTTTACAACCTACTTTGAAAATTTACCCCTTCGACCCAAACCCACCCACTTGCCCATATTAAGCCGCCTATAAATGCTGAAAGAAAACAATTTGTGAAGTTATGCAAAACGGTTACCTTTCCCATAATGGACCGGGCAGCTCGATTTCCAGCTCGGGCAGACATACAAAGGAGATCCTTTTCATGATGGTGCATCATATAATCAATGGCAGTAAAAGTCAAACGTTGGAAATTGACCACCTTTAAAATGAATGGTTTCCTAGCCTCGGCCAGAAGCATAGTACATCTGCAAAATGTTTGCAATGAAATCATTTTGATTAAATTAATCCGATTAGCATTATAAGACCAATAAGGTACTGTTTGGTATGGTTGAATCAGAAATGGAATGGAATGAATGTTTGATGGAATCCATAGCGGAATGGAATATTTTTTCCATGAAAAAAAAAACTATGTTGTTTGCCTAATGAAATAGAATGGACCATTCTTGAAGGAACTTGATTCCTTCCATTTCATTATTTAGGAATGGAATGAAAAATTGTATTACCATCCCTTTTTATTAATATCATTTTTTCTGGCATGTGTTTTTTAAAAAAATCATTAATTTACAGTTTTATAATCTAAAAATAAATAGAAAATATTTTTTTAGTTATAGTCTTATTTGGGTTTTATTGAGCTTTTATTGTGTTTGATTAGTTTTGTAATAAAAAAATATAGTGATTATTAATCAAATAATAAAGAGTAGAGTTAGGCTATGTTTGACATATTAGCTGAAAAGCTAGTTGTTAGCTGAAAAGTTAACTGTTAAATAAAAAGCTAGCTGATAGTTGAAAAACTAACTGATAAAAAATAACGTTTGGTAAAACTAGCTGAAATATATAAAATTACATAAAATGACATGTATGAGTATGTGTTTCTATAATTACTTAAGGGGTTCATTTGGAAAATTTGAAAAAAGCTCCTAAAAAACCAGTCCATGTAGCTTTTCAAAAAGTTAGCTTATAAGCTACTTTTTGGCTTATCAAACACGACAACATAAAGAAGCTCGAAAAATAAGCTAGTTGTGGCGCGTCAAACACAACCTAACCATATTTACACGTAATAAAAAAAAATTCATATGAAAAATTATTTCACTTCAAGATGCCAACCAAACATGATTATAAAGTGTAATGAGTCATTCCATTCCATCAAACCATACGAACCCTAAAAGAAATAACACTGAAAACATACACTGCTCCCACTCTTGCCAAGTCTCTCACACCATCACTTGACACTGCTATTGCGACCAATATCACATCCAAAATATGCAAGGGTAAATCCGTCATATGCACCATCTTATTTTTCAAATTGCTAATAAGACCAAGATCATATTCAAAACAAGTAAAAGAATTGTGAAAGAGGAAAACTTAAGGTAAGTTACATTTCTCCCCAATTTCCTTTTTAAAAACAAATCTTGTTACATATTCTTCGAAAAAATTAAAATATACAAAAATTTGGACTAAACAAAGTTGTGTATCAGTCTATGTTAAAGAAACAATAAAAACTAGAAATTCACTTTTATTGGATTACCATATACATTCTATAGAAAGCTTTATAGAAAATCGAAGATGATTGAGACAAAAATTGTTCATCTAGTTAAGGAAAAATCATAATCACACCGATAGATGTAAGAAAATGGGAACAAATTTACCTGGAGAAGTTGTAAATTTCAGAGAGACACCGCTAAGGTGATGAAACAACTCCGTCATGTAGAAGAACTCTCACAAAAAACTATATTTAAATAAACATAAGGTAGTTCAAAATGAGTCAATGACTATGCATTAATATCTATTATGCCCAACTAAATGAAATAAATGTGTTTCTTATAAATGAGATTCAAGTGAATTTGCTTATTTGCATCTTGTTGGTTTTTAATAATATTCTCTTCGTTCCAAAAAGAAAAAAAAAGTAGAGGTGTTCAAAAGTTTTGTTATTAGAGCATCCATAACTATGAATCATACCCTTATTAAACATTAAAATGTTATATTTACTCTTCATAAAATTTCAAAATATCATATATATGTCCTTTTTAAACATAAAAATATCATATATGTCTTTCATAAATATCAAAATATCATATATACCCTTCTTAAACATCAAAATGTTAATGGTAATATCTAAAATATCATCCATCTACAACATTATAATAATCAACAACAATAAAAAATAAGTAATCAATGTATACATTAGCTATAGGGTTTACACATTTTTTATTTAATACATTATACTTATACTATCATAGTTTTTGTAATCATATATAAGACATCAACTATTTATAAGATTAAAGAAAGACGGACGACAAAAAATTTCCATTACGTACCCGATAATTTAAGGGTGGCAATTTTAATCCATTTACCTAAAATGTGGTTCAATTTCAGTTATATATTACTTCTCATTATAACTATCTCTAACAAGTGATCAATGGTTCAAAAGTCCCCCAAAGTGTATCGAAATGCTTACAAGATCCTAAATTGATTTATTATAACATATTATGAAGGTTGTATTGGAATAGTTTTTGTAATCATATTTAACGCCTTAATATTATATAAAATTCAAGAAAGATGATTTTCTTTCACACCAAGCACCCTAGAATCTAAAAGTTGCAACTTCAACCAATTTGCCTAAAAGATAGGTTAATTTCAATTTTTTTCACATCCAACAAGCCAAATGGTTCAAAAGTCTCCCAAAGGGTATCTAAATGCTTACAATATTCTAAATTACGTAGTAGTATCAATAATAAAACTATAATATTGATATGAACCAAGTAGATAAATGGGATCGGGTCTACATAAAAAGAAGGCATGGGAAATTTAGTAATCATTCTAGTATCTTTATTATTTAGTATATATCTAGTTGATTCTGGTTTCCTTAGGAAATTAAAGTTTCCTTCTATGAGTATAGCTTCCTTTTATAATATTAGGAGAGTCTATAAACAAGGCTAGTGTCGACTCTAAGAAAGCAGACAAACTTTTGTGAGTCGTTTTCTTTTGTTTGAAGATCCCCTACTCGAATATCAGACACCTACCTTTTGTTTTTTTAAGCATTAAGTTATACGTAATCAAGTTTACCAATTTGGATATATCAAATATCCTTTTCCATAACAAAATGAGGTAAGGGGGATGTCAGAAGATGGAAAGTGTAGACAGTCTTTCCCTCCACCTGAGAGTAGAGAGCAATGTCGTAAGGAACGGAAATGGGAACAAAGATCTCTAAATTCCAATATAAGGATAACTTACATTTGGTACATGGAATGCTATACCATGTAATGTATACATGGTACAAAGTATGTACCATATCCAAAACATAAAACATATATAATGTGATTCACGAAAAAGTAAAGAAACATCAATATAATTAAGTTAACTTCAGTTCATAATGTGGGAAACATTGTATCATAACAAAAAACTAGAAAAGTAAAAAACAATATGAAAAAGTTGAAATCAATCAATACTGGCTTTTGCGTTCCTATCTGCATCACCTTCCTCTAAATTCTCCTATTGCATGTCTTCATGTCTTCAAATCTTGCACTTTCCGTTCCAAATATGTATTTCTGGATTCACATCAAATCTTTTGTATGGGCCCTCTTTATAGTGTTCAGAAAAGCATGATGGTAGTTGAATATTTGAATGGATATACACTGACCTACGCGCCCTTTTACAATTAAAACAATTTCTTTTCACAGTATCGATATAGTAGGTGTTCCAGTTTCTTTCTGCTAAAGAGCTGCAAAATGGCCTATGAAAGAACTTTTTTTAACATCAACAAATTCAAGAGTTTTTGAACTTGACCACCAATCGATTGTGTCTAGCGTCATTGCATCTATTTGAGTGGAATGTTACAAATTGCTCTCATAATACCCACTCTTCTTCTTGACTTTCAATTCTTCTTATAAAAGTTTTCTTAACACAAAGTTCCAATTTTTTGTCTAAATTAGGAGATCTTCTAACAATTTCATTAGCTGCTGACATCTCAAGATAATGTGTATCATAGACGCGAGAAGATAAAGTAAAGCCCAAACAGTTTAAAGGAATAGTCATCTTTGTAACATCCTAAAAAATTTAATTTAAAAATAAAATAAGGATGTTTATGGTTAAAATCTATCTAATAACATGTTAGAGTGGTAAAATGCAAGTAATGGTAAGAACTAATAAAATTCTTAAACTAGAGGGACCATAAGTAAAAACTTGAGGAAATAAGATGCAAGCACACTTCCCTCATTCTTGTTGGATGTATTTTGAAAGGAATAGAGAGCTCTAATGGTGAATGCTTCATTTCTTGACACTTAGGGCTTGATTCAAGAAGATAATTGGGCAATAAAGCAAAGAAGAGAAGGAATCAAGGCTAACAAGGTAAAACTCATCTCTATTACGTTTAAAATTCGAAATTGTGAAGTGGGTGAAAACCTAGTGTTGAGTTTAGTAGGATTTTATGATTAGGGTTTCAATTTCTAACCCCCTTTGGGTGGTTTTGATGGTTCTAATCTCAAACCAATCATTCCATTGATGGTTTTGATGATTTAGGTGAAAACCCTCATGAACCCTAGAAAACCCAAATTGAGAATATGGCAATTGATAATGAAATGAGATTAGATTCTATGACCTAGATGATATTTGATAGAAACAAATCCAACTGGAATGCTGAAATTCATCCATGATGGTAGAATCATGTCTATGCTAGAATTGGAATGGAGTTGAGTGAAATCTAATGAAAACAATGGAATATTTTGTTTGTGAGCATTTGATGAGTACATGATACTCATATACATGAGTTGATACTAATAATATAATCTGAATGTAATAACATGAAGACTTGAATGATTCCTAGTTTAAAATAAGGAGTTATTGGCCATAAGGGCAACATGGGAAGGTTGGAATGGGATTTTACATTCCATAACTCCATTAAGGAATTAACATGAGATTGTGTAATGTTAAGCACTTGACAACACCCAATTATGTATAAGATGATTTGGGAAAATGTCATATTGGTAAAGGAGTGTTCTTGACCAACTTGAGATCTTAACCCTTTCACTTGAGTGTTTGTAAGCATTATAAACTTAGCATTTTGATTGATGTAACACCTGTATATCGGAGATAGTCAATTTAGAGAAAATGAGCATCGAAAATGTGTTTTTATGGAAGCTTATTTAGAGCGATTAATCTTAACCAAGTTTTAGTATATGTTACAAGGGTTTCGTACATATAATGAACGCCGAAATCTGAGTTATAACGAAGAAGTTATGACCTGTCGAAGTTTTACGGCAAAACCGGCACGGCACCGAGAGACGTAAATAGTGAATTTACGATAGAGGACATTTTAGCCTTAGAGATCTAAAAAAAAAAAGTTGTAGTATACGTTAAACCGAGAACATACCAAAAAAGAACGCCCAAATCTAAAAAAAGAACGCCCAAATCTGACTTCATATGAGGAAGTTATGAATTTTCTAAGATTTGGCATAGAAGTGCACGGCTCGAAACTCGAATTTTAGTTCAAGTTGTTTTTAGCCTACGCGACCTAAATGAGAGTTGAAGATATCGTTAATAGGAACTAAATGATTAAAAGACACACGAAAACGGAGTCCGTATGTAGAAGTTATTAATTTTATGCGGACATTTAATAGTATAATCTTCTCCTACTAAGACTGGTCGAGAAATAGCCAACAGAGTCAAAAGGAAAGTTGTAGATCATTTTTTTACCTACGCGTGGATATAAATAACGTAAAAACGGAGCTCGTATGCGAAAGTTACGGATTTTAGAAGTCGGAAGTGTGTTGTGCGAAAACGGGTGACGTGGTACAATCTTGGCCATTGCTTTCTCCCCAAGTCTTGCCACGAGATGGTGACATGTGGCACCAAGTTCAGCCATACTTCACTCTATAAATAGAACCTATCTAACCCTCATTTTCTTCACACCTTTCCTATTCTTTCTTCTCTCTACACTCTCTCTAAACCTCCAAAAAAACTCCCCTAGCGCTAGAAGAAAGCCCTGGATCGCTCGACGGCTTCGAGAAGAAGAGCTTTCGGCTCGGAAGTTCTGCCCCTGCAGAGCACAGCTTCTAGCCAAACCCCCTCATAGGTAAGATACGCCTACCTAATTTTTAATATAGCTTTTATTTAAATATAGTAACGTTATTAGGACCTTATAATAATTATTTGAGCTATTATTATGGGTTATATAAGTGTTGTTATAATATCTTTTTAACCACTCGCGGTACGGGGAATCTGGTTTGAAGGGCCGCCTGGGTTGTTGGATTTTAGAAGTGCTATATGCCAAAATGATCCTTCCCTCCGGTGTTTCA